CGCCCTCCTCCTCTCTCTCTCTCTCTCTCTCTCTCTCTCTGTTTTTCTCTTTGAGATAACGAAAGGAGAGCTTCTGCTGCCGGCGTTCGCGATGTCTTCGACAGGAATCGCTAATAAACGGCGAGAGGGATTATCAATGTTATTTTTCTTTTTATTAAAGCACTGTCCTTTTACATATATATGTAACCGATCGCTGTAAACTTCCGGTGCCCTCGCGTCATAAAGTCCGACTTTTAACGGCTGTAAGACAAACCATTTTATTATCGTTCGCGTAGCTACAGTGCGGCCTTTTGACGTACGTGATATGACAAGAAACGTCGTAAAGATGTTGTACGATTTGGGGTAAACGCACGCAAGAGGGCACGAAGTCAAGCGAAGACGAGGTAAGATTTCTTTTGGTTACCAAAGATTAAACATTTACGATCTTCCAGTTTGATGACCCATCTTCCGAGAACACCGCTATCCATCGAAGAAGAATCCCCCCATGGGTGTCTTTGGTTTTTCTAGTATATTCGTTGACGCGCCAAAATCCTCTCGGTCCCCGCGATATTCGTTCTTCGTCGAAAGGTGCCGATTAAAGGCGACGTTTTACGCACGGGACGTAGATCTCCGTGGGCGTCCTGGCCACTCTAATTTGTTGATAAATACACTACGCTCCATAGAACATCGCCGGTGGCTTAAAATTAGACTTTTACGAGCGGTTTCAGTAGGTGCGAGAGAGCGCCATTCCACGCGCTCACAGCGTATCCGATATCAAAGCTGGTCGGAGCGATCCATTATGAGCAGGAAGACGCGCTTGAGGAAATCGTACAAATCGCGCGGCTCCTGGAAATCACTCCGAGACACTTGTAACGGAGGCCTTTATCGTTTGTCGTAGCTACACGAGATAAATCAATTTGCCGTTTCACGCGTGCACAGCTCCTCTGGAATTTCCACGCAGTTCCTTACAAATGTGTTTTCTCCTATCACAAAATCTGCAAGGATAAAGATATCTCTAAAACCGAGTTATATTGTCACATAATTGACATCATTATCTTGCTTGTTTTTTACAAATCGGTCAGACCTGCGTGCCCTGTACAAAGGTCCCTCCTACAGAAACCAGAAGTCCTGGACGAGGACAGATTCCGAAACGCAAATTCGATAATTAACGTTGAAGACGCGATCGTGCATTCCCACGACTTCGCCCTGAGACGGTTACCACAAGAATCGAGCGTCGAACCGATTTGCGCTTGGTGGTTTCAGGCATACTCGGCGATGTCGCCGAACGGTGAATCTGCAGCGCCGATCTTGGGCTCGGCGGTGACCAGTGCGGCTTCCCTGCCGCCAATGTCGACATTCCGGGGTAGTGCCGCGGTCGCGGCGAACAGTGGCACAGGGGCGCCGTCGCCGGCATCGTTGCAATATAGCCATAGTCCTGGTGCACCGACGACCGCGCCCTCCGCGCCCAACACTGCACCCACGACGAACCAGCAATCCACCACGGACGACACACTTGGCAAGACCCTCGCGTCCGTCGTGAGTACTCGAGTATGTGTCGAGTCGTCAAGTTTTTCTACCAGACAGTATACTTGATGCAGATAAATTATACTTGATGGGGGATCTGGAATAACGAGTGTTATTCGAAAATGAAACGACTACTTAGATGATCTATACATATAATTCACGTAACACGTTGATGCATCTAACGTAATGTTTCTTTCGATACATCTCACGTATATTTCACTTTATGACGCGACGTCATTACCTCGCGGATGATTCGGAATGTTATGTCACAACTGCGTCGTTATCGCGACATTTTTCGCAGATTTATCCCACGGACCAATCAGTATCCAGTTATAGCAGTAATCCATCTACGCCCGTCAGTTCGCCACCACCTTTAACCGGCTCGGCACCGGCTTGGGCACCTGGAGCCGCGCCAGTATCTCCGCATTTTACGGCGGATCCCAATCGTGGTATTCATATGGTGCGTATCAAGATGCTATTTTGTATTTGTATTGATTACTAATTACGACGGTACAAGCGTCGGAGGAAGCAACCGCGGGATCCTTTCAACATTCTTTTTCTTCTTAAATTATTTACCGTTCCGATTACTTGCTGACTTAAGCCCATATTCTAAATCCTCTTATCAATAAAAATATCTCTAATCAATAAAGAAACCTTCTTGATTAACGGTGAGCTACTTTTAGAGACATCTGTACAAAAGAGAATTCGGAATATGGGCCTTTGTCTCTACATTATACAGAAATCTCAGAAGTCGAGGTACAATTAAGTAAACATCGTTGAAAGGTTCCTCGAACGCGTGTTACAATTTTAGCCGCTTCACGATAATTATTTTTACTTTTACATGAACATTTGAACACGACAGTTACATTTTTTGATACGTACGCTGAAGCAACACGTTGATATTATCAATTATTACTACATGCGCAATTCTTATTTTTGTCTGAGGGGGGGAGGATGAATAATGGCGGAGCAGTATTGACATACAAATGGAGATCGAGAAATCGA